CCCTCCCCCCCCCCCCCAGGGAATGGTTTTTGGGGGGGTGTCCAACATAACCCCCATATCTGCTCTGTCCCATGGTGCTGAGATGCCTCCTCTGTGCTCACCGCACATGCGAGCAGCTGGGATGCTGCGGCACAGCTGCTGCAGCATGGGGGATGTGAGTCCTCAGGTTCACGTCAGATATACTGGGCAAACAATGCTTCCTTTGCCTGTCTCTGGGGGGAAAATTCACTCAAAGCAGTTTATATGTTGCTCAGATAAGTCTTAACACTGGCTGTGCTACAGTGAGTGCTTGAGGTTGTAAAGGGTCCAGTACTGAGGCCCTGGCTCAAACTCAGGACATCTCCAGTTGCTACACTGCCACTCTGTGCCTCAGTTTCCCCCCTTCTTGCATTTCCTGAGGCTGTGTGCTCTTTGGGCAGGTCTGGTTTTCACTGGGTGCAAACAGCATCCCAGCTCCCAAGGAGCCAAATAAAGGCTCAGTCCTCACCCCCAGACCAGCCTTGTTTCACACTGAATATATGTACATGCTGTAAGGCTCCCTGGTTGTGCCACCCTGGCACAGGGACCTTCCCCTGTAGTGCCATGGGATCCTGACTTAAATCCTTTTGCAGTCGCTGTCTCTGTCCAAGCAAACCAGCTTGCTTGAGGCGTGAAAGATGCAGGCTGTGTCCTCAGACCAGGGATCTCCCAGAGAGGAAAGGACACAGAGGTCCCAGGGAAGGCCAGATCCAAGCATCCCTATGTGTGCCCAGCTCCTGGCACGGCTCTGGCTGCGTGCCTCCACCTTTCCCGCTCCTGCTTCTCTTCGCTGGCTTTACTCCTGCCCTGGTGATCAATGGGCTCTGGTCGGGCTGGAAAACAGCACAAACAGAGGCATTTACAAACCTGCTGCCTCTCCAACAGGGCCATAACTCAGGCTCCCCGTCACTGCAGGGAATGGGAGGCAGGCACTCCTGCTCCAGCAGCAGCAACAGCGCCGACGTTTCCCCTCTCGTGGTAAATGTGTTACTTGGGGATAATTTACCTGCTTATGTCAAGTTTTAAAAAGAAATAGACTGGCTGCTCTGCAGCTCCTGACACTCGCAGCATATGTGTGTGTGGACACACATGTCTA